TTTGAGATATACTTCTGCTAGTTAAAAACTTCCTCTTCCTTTCACAGCCTTTAGAAGAGGCCTTCTAGGGCGGAATCCATATCTGAAAATGGATAATATAATATTAGAAACGCATGGTAACCTTCAGTAACAATTGCTTAGCCCTACATGCAATTACAGTTAAAATATCTGAGTATAGCTGAAGGACTGAGGTGGGGCGGGGGCGGGTCCTACCCATCTGAGGTGCCCTGAGGCGTTCCTCCAAACAGAGACGCTTGCTGTCTTCCATCCCTGCAAAATGTAGTACAGGTCAATATAATTGGTCATGTGATGTGAACAGTTTGGTGCCAATTCCAAATATGAGATAAATCAGTTAAACAGGTTCTACCTATTTAAGATATTTAAGAATGCCCACACAGACTGCGGCCATAATTCCTCTTATTCTTATTTGCGATTTTAATAATTTGATGTTTGTATAGTTTACATTCATTTACCCATATTTGTCCTTTAGATGTGGGACAGGATCCCTCAACTCTTATCCGCCTTCACTGTCTTCACTTTCCCCAAAAGATATCAAGTCTCCAATCGTCCCAAGTTATCTGTCAAAAATAAAACTTTTAGCATCAAAGACGTTTAGTCATTGCAAATTACCATTTTTAAAATTGTGATAAATCTGAAGCTTGGATGAAATGCTAAGTTATAATGATGGATTTCTAAAGGTTGTCTATATATTACATGTTTGCCTTCAGTAAATGACTGTTCACAGTGCTTGTATCCTTTAAATTACTTAAAATAGTAAATACCTTCTATTAATATCCTCGAGTGTTTTGCCTTGAAGATTTGGAGGGACCCTTCTCCATGCGCTAGGAGGGAGTTTCGATATTTTTGCAGCTGGGTTTGTTGCCACTTGGAGCCTGTAATACTGTCCTGTGGACACGAATATCTGTGTCCTAGGAAGTCAGCAACTTGGTCCCAACTCATTGGTTCTTGAGGTTCAACGACTCTGACAAAGTTGCAACACTGGTTTGCGCAACTTTGGTCGACCTCAGAACGTCTCGGGTTTCTTGGCGCCAATTCATAGCATAATCCTCAACATTGCCGTGTCCCTCCTGTAAGGAGTCGCAANAATTTCAGACTCCAGCTTACAGCTTCCTGCCTACCACCTGCCAAAGACCAGTATAGAGGAATGTTAAGCCCTCCCACTATTTTCCAAGAGGGCGTTGCCAGATTTGGCAACGCCCTCTTGGAAAATAGTGGGAGGGCTTAACATTCCTCTATACTGGTCTTTGGCAGGTGGTAGGCAGGAAGCTGTAAGCTGGAGTCTGAAATTCAGTGCTCCATCTGTACATGAATATGTGTCCCCGGTGTTCCAGGGAACTCACCAAGTGTCAGAAAACACAACCCTCTCTATTTTCCTCCATACCCAAATCTCTTAAAAAGGGGCTGCAACGGATCTGATACAGACTGATCCAGATTTGAACACTTCTATGACGTCACAGAAGTGGCGCTACGGCTATTGGGCCAACTCCACCAATCGGGAGGAGACAGCCATGGACATTGCCGTTCGAAAGCGCTGGAGACGTTGTAGTACATATGCCAGGCCTGTAGATGGTGCTGTTCTCCCAGAATTAGCCCATGCAAAGACAGTGTTAAATTGAGCGAAATGAGGAATGGCTAAAATGCATGATCTGTTTGATATTTTGAAAAATAAAAAGTATA